TAGAAATCGATTTCTAGCCAGTACTTTATGCAGGAATTGTCGGGCCACAACAAATTCTGAATGAATCACTTCCGAATTAGTTAAGTTCATCATATCTTGTACGAGTTGCGCATCCAAGAAAGTGCTGTCATACTGTGGATCAAAAGCTGAAAGAGCTTCAATTAACTTGCTATTTCTTTCTCCGAAACGCTCTGAGATTTCTGCAAGCACTGCGTCCAAAGTACTGTAGTATAATCGTCTGAGCTCTTCTTGATTTCCCAAATCACTTTGAGCCTGGCCAATGCTTTCCTCCAGCAGATATTCTTGAAGGCCTTTGTTGATGGTCCGCTTTCGTTTGGGAGGTCTTGGCATTTCAGTGTCGTCGGCCTTCTCCCACAGCTCTAAGAAGTCAGATTCACTGCGCAATTTCGTAAGACATTCTGAAGCACATGTAACTAATTTGACTGCACTTAGAAGGTCCATGTCCTCTGACTGCATCAGTTTGTTTGGAGCATCAAGCAGCTGTGCATCATTGATGTAAACACAAAGCCTGCCGCCGCGGGTCTTACCTCCCTCGACAAGAACTCTGTTCGCTCGATAGCATGTTAGCTGGTCGAGATGAATAGCGCAGTCCTGAACGCTGTTGCTGAGCCATGTTTCCGTGAACACAAAAACACAACAATCTCTTACAGTCCTTCGGGTTGAGCGTAGTAGTCGGATGTAGTCCAGTTTATTGTCCAAAGAGCGTACGTTAGCCAGTATGATGGTGGGGATAGCCGGCTTGTGTGGGTTAGCCGCTAGCCTAGCCCGGATACCTCCGCGCTTACCCCTCTTCTGCTTCCTCTCGCACCGCTTGTGGCGCCTCCGCTGTGGGTGAGATGCAGTAGTGGGGGTCGGTGATGGTGTAGGCCTTCGGAGCAGACCGAGGTCCCGCAGCTCTTCGGCGTGCGCAGAGTCTAACTCTAAAAATGTGGTTCTACCGACATCGAGCAGAAACTCACAACTGTATGCGTGCTTAGAGACAGATAGACGCGACGAATATGTACAAAAACACTGCAACTCACAAGATAAAAAACACTGTTCTGTCGGGAGAGAGAGAAGCCGCAGCGTGTGCACACGCCGCCATCTTGGTTATTTAGTATTTAGATACTGTTTAAATACTGTCTCCAGGTGGTGATTTATTTTTCATTTTCATGTTTCTTTTGGAAAGTCTCTGTCTTTGGCTCCTCCCATGAGCTCTCGTGTATAAATGCATACTCAATACTCAACACGCTCTGAAGAAAAGTGAAATCTTTCTGCCGAAGAGAGAAGCTGCGGAGAATTAAAGCACGAAACTTATGGTGGGTTTTTCAATGAATAAATGTCAAGGACCCGCATGAGCCTCTGCATGCCTCTGCTCATTCATTCATTCATTTAAGATTTAAGTGAAGGTTTATGTGTACTTTTGACATGCGAGACGTTTATATTTGTGCTGTGTGATTTCATTCCTCTAGGCCTATAGCTCTTTTTTTTTTGTATTATGAAAGAGAATGGTGTCTCGGACTGTCAAGATCCAGAAAGACAAACTATCATAACAGTGATAACCAACATGACTCCTGTATACTCCAAGATTTCTGAAATATGAGAGCTTTGTGTGAGGAACAGACTGGAATTAAAGTTGATATGTGTTGAAAACACTTCAAAACATCCTAACAGCATTGCAGTCATTTCTATGATTTTAAAGTTATTTTGATGAATAATTATTAGATTCTTAGTATTTAAAAAGCTGTATCTGCACATCAATACATCTTTTCTGTAAATTAGTAAATGTTTGTTGCATGAAAACACCTGTTATGCAATAATAATATAATGCAATGAATTGGTTGTGTGATTTTAATATATATATATATATATATATATATATAAAATATTCTTATTCTAATTGACCCTCTTGTAGCTTTCCACCAAATATGTTCAAACTAATTAAAGTGAAAGAGAATTGATTAACTGATTAACATGCAGACTGACCTATAGGCTGTAGTCTCGGGGTCCATGTGATCGGGGGCCTCTGTTCACTGGGGTTTGCAAATATTTCCTGTTTCATCTATTTCTACAGTACTAGTAATTACTAGCGTTACTGGACGGATGTTTTTAAATATCAGGCAACTTGCGAACACACAGCGCACATGACATCAGTTTCAGTTGAAAACTCACACCTGTCGATGGCTTTGGCAATGTAAAGCTTCTGAGCATGCTAATAAAGCTACTTGAGTCTGAATTTGTCAATCGCTGATCGAGTTTTCAAGCAGAAGGAGAGAAAACAGTCCAGATCTCTGTTCATGTACATGTAAACACTCAATTATATAGTAGGCTATAATTTAAAATATATCGCCCTGGTCGCAAGTTAGTATTCTGATTACTTGATTGATCAAGTTATGATATGTAGCTAGTATGAGTAACAAAATGCTATATATATATATATATATATATATATATATATATAAACTGAAAACAACTGCTAGGGAACTCACAACCATCTTTGTAAATATAGGGCTGTACAACCATCTAGTGTTTACACATGGTACACTCTTAAAAATAAAGGTGCTTCAAAAGGTTCTTCAAGCGATGCCATAGAATAACCTTTTTTGGTTCCACAAAGAACCATTCAGTCAAAGGTTCTTTAAAGAACCATGTCTTTCTTATACCTTTTTATAATCTGAAGAACCTTCTTTCGCCACAAAGAAGCTTTTGTGAAACAGAAAGGTTCTTCAGATGTTAAAGCTTCTTTATGGAACCATTTAGACAAAAAGGTTCTTCTATGGCATCACTGTGAAGCAGCTTTATTTTTAAGAGTGTATTACAGATGATAAATGGTGCATTATTGTAAAACTGTCCCCTTATACAGCCAGTATTTCTGTTTTCTGGTCCCTCTGACTGGTTCTTGGTCCCTCTGTGTCTCCCCATTTAAACCAATAGACCGTAACCCTGTGTGACCTCAGCCCTGACCGAGCCTGCCAGGATCCAAAATGTGAGTCAATAAATATCATGGTAAAATGACTTTTGCAATATTGACAAGTCTTCTAAAACAGTACAAAAGCTTTGTGTGAGGAACAAACTCAAATGTATGCCATTATTAAACTAACACCAAAATTTAGAAGCATAACTTTTGGAGATTTTTTTTTAAACGAGAAATTGATATTTGATCTTTTTTTCTGCTCAAGTTCTTCATGTTGATTCATGCAAAAGGGAGGAGCATTTTCATGACAGAACCAGAAATAGAAGAAAATCTGATCAAACCTGAACTGCAGCTCGACTCCTGGTGAGTTTATCATTCCTGCAACAGCGTGTTTAATGCAAACGTGTCAGATTATTATTCTTATAAACCAGGACACATATTTATTGAGATTGTATTTGTTCTTTCAGAAGCATGTTCATGTGTTTGTGATCTGAGATGCAGTGAAGATGGCAGCAGGGACTAAAACTCTTCCTGGTAAGAGAGCGTTTGTTTACTCTGCTTAAGAAAGAAACTTCCAGTACATTCATTTAGTCTTAATGTCAGTGTATAGTTCAGATTGAAATTATGTTCCTCATGAATCAGTTGTTTCCACTGAATATCATTATAAATGACTCAGAAACATGGAGATGAGTTTCACTAATTGACCCTCTTGTAGCTTTCCACCAAATATGTTCAAACTAATTAAAGTGAAAGAGAATTGATTAACTGATTAACATGCAGACTGACCTATAGGCTGTAGTCTCGGGGTCCATGTGATCAGGGGCCTCTGTTCACTGGGGTTTGTAAATATTTCCTGTTTCATCTATTTCTACAGTACTAGTAATTACTAGCGTTACTGGATGGATGTTTTTAAATATCAGGCAACTTGCGAACACACAGCGCACATGACATCAGTTTCAGTTGAAAACTCACACCTGTCGATGGCTTTGGCAATGTAAAGCTTCTGAGCATGCTAATAAAGCTATTGAGTCTGAATTTGTCAATCGCTGATCGAGTTTTCAAGCAGAAGGAGAGAAAACAGTCCAGATCTCTGTTCATGTACATGTAAACACTCAATTATATAGTAGGCTATAATTTAAAATATATCGCCCTGGTCGCAAGTTAGTATTCTGATTACTTGATTGATCAAGTTATGATATGTAGCTAGTATGAGTAACAAAATGCTATATATATATATATATATATATATATATATATATAAACTGAAAACAACTGCTAGGGAACTCACAACCATCTTTGTAAATATAGGGCTGTACAACCATCTAGTGTTTACACATGGTACACTCTTAAAAATAAAGGTGCTTCAAAAGGTTCTTCAAGCGATGCCATAGAATAACCTTTTTTGGTTCCACAAAGAACCATTCAGTCAAAGGTTCTTTAAAGAACCATGTCTTTCTTATACCTTTTTATAATCTGAAGAACCTTCTTTCGCCACAAAGAAGCTTTTGTGAAACAGAAAGGTTCTTCAGATGTTAAAGCTTCTTTATGGAACCATTTAGACAAAAAGGTTCTTCTATGGCATCACTGTGAAGCAGCTTTATTTTTAAGAGTGTATTACAGATGATAAATGGTGCATTATTGTAAAACTGTCCCCTTATACAGCCAGTATTTCTGTTTTCTGGTCCCTCTGACTGGTTCTTGGTCCCTCTGTGTCTCCCCATTTAAACCAATAGACCGTAACCCTGTGTGACCTCAGCCCTGACCGAGCCTGCCAGGATCCAAAATGTGAGTCAATAAATATCATGGTAAAATGACTTTTGCAATATTGACAAGTCTTCTAAAACAGTACAAAAGCTTTGTGTGAGGAACAAACTCAAATGTATGCCATTATTAAACTAACACCAAAATTTAGAAGCATAACTTTTGGAGATTTTTTTTTAAACGAGAAATTGATATTTGATCTTTTTTTCTGCTCAAGTTCTTCATGTTGATTCATGCAAAAGGGAGGAGCATTTTCATGACAGAACCAGAAATAGAAGAAAATCTGATCAAACCTGAACTGCAGCTCGACTCCTGGTGAGTTTATCATTCCTGCAACAGCGTGTTTAATGCAAACGTGTCAGATTATTATTCTTATAAACCAGGACACATATTTATTGAGATTGTATTTGTTCTTTCAGAAGCATGTTCATGTGTTTGTGATCTGAGATGCAGTGAAGATGGCAGCAGGGACTAAAACTCTTCCTGGTAAGAGAGCGTTTGTTTACTCTGCTTAAGAAAGAAACTTCCAGTACATTCATTTAGTCTTAATGTCAGTGTATAGTTCAGATTGAAATTATGTTCCTCATGAATCAGTTGTTTCCACTGAATATCATTATAAATGACTCAGAAACATGGAGATGAGTTTCACATTGAGCTGATAGATATTTAGATTATATTGTTACTCATTTGTTAATTTGCTGCTGTTGGAGTTCAGTTTTTGTACTGTTTGTAGTGTTTAATGTTTTTTTTTTTCTTCTTTTAAAAATTCTGCCTTGTGTTTTTACATTCATATTTTCTGTCACTTTCAGATATTTTCATTTTTGACTCCAGTGATGATGTAGTGATCCGGATTCTTCTGCAGGGCAGAAACACTTCTGGGAAAAGCTCATCTGGGAACACTATACTGGGAGAAGAGAGGTTTAAAAGGCACAAGTCTGAGGTGTGTGAGGGTCAAGCTCAGATCTGTGGGAAGCAGGTGGCCGTGATTGATTGTCCAGATCTACTGGATCCAGCTCTGAATGAAGAGCAGCTGGAGAAGATGAAAGAGCAGCTGGTCTCTGGATGTTCAGCAGGTCTCAGTGCAGTTCTGCTCACCGTGATTGTTAGCTTATTGTTGTCATCACACGTCTTCACTCTTGCTCAGAACTTAAAAGAAGAGCGTCTGAAGTTGTTCTACATTTCTTTGCATTTATAGATTTCTTCTCCAGCTTAATTCTCTGTGAAATTCAGTCAGCCGAGGGGCAGAAACCCTGAGCCTGTTGGAGCATGTTTGTTTGCAGACTGGAAGATCTTCTAGTAGCGATGGACCGAAACAGTGCAGAGCATCACGTGATTCACATCAACCTGTTAAACAACATTGTTAGACACAGCCACACTTTTGAAAAGAAATATTAACATACTGTTTCCAAAACTGTTAAACTTCAGTGCAAAACCTATAGCACAGTGCAAAAATATCCTGAATGTAAAAAATCAAATACTATCAAAGCAGTTGCATGTAGCTGAACATCTTCACAAGTGTTAATCTATACAAAAGGGGAATCATTTCAAACTGTAATGTAAACCTGGAGCATGTAACATATACTGCAGTGAATTATAAACAGTAGAGAGTATCATTCTTGTTTTGTAATGAAATTTTACAAAAGAAAACATTGTATAATGCTGCCTGTTGTTAGTGTTTTTTAGGCTGTTGTGTTATGAGTGATAAAGTGTGTTTGGTGACTAATGCACTATTCTAGTAACTACTGACTAACAAGAAATGCTGATTAGTGAATTAGTTTAAGTAATAGAGCTCAGCTGAAAGTGGTAGTTCACTATTAGCTAATCAGTAACTACTGAAGATCATGGTATTCCACTAGCAATGACTCGAGTATCACCAAATTACAATCCAGAACCTTTCAAAAACCTCAAACGTTTACAATGACTTCAGTCATTCCTTGGCAGTTATCACGAATGATTAAGATTTTTCCTGTTACCAATATAATGTGTACTTTCTCATTGTAATGGTTAAACCAAGTGCGCATGTCAAACAAACATGTATACTATATGATGCAAATGTTGTATTC